TCCAAGTTCACATATTCCTGAACAGCCTCGATGAGCGGTTCGAATCCTTTATCAACTTTCAAGCAGATGTCTTCAACACGGCGAAGTCATCGATGGGACGACGCTACCCAAGTTGTTTACTGCGTATTATTCAAAAGGAGATCCGGAGCTCATATGGGTCTTCTAATGCAGCGTTGACGACAACTTCGCGTTGAAACTAACGATCCCGCCCCCGCCACGGCAACCAAGACGCCCCCGTCGTCTGCAGCTACTGCAACATGCGTAATCACACTGAGGATGTTTACCGTCGCAAGCGTGCCGACCAGCAGCATTCCAACAGTGGTCAACGGCGTGTTCAGAACAACACGGCTCCGCCTGTGGATTCTGCTGCACCTGCCTCGTCGGAACGTCCCCGTGGATCGTCATCTCAAGCGTCGTCTGGCCCCAATCGCCGTCGCCATTGTCAGCCTTCTGCCAACCATGTCAGCATGGTTGCCAATGTGAGTCACTCTACAATCCTCCGCTCCACTTCCTGACGTCTCCTCGGAATGGGTTATGGATTCTGGGGCATCTGATCATTACTGCAACAACGCTGCTTGGTTTGAAGACCTCCGCTCTTACCATGGCAAAGTGCGTGCTGCGAATGGTGGCGACATGACGATCAAAAGACGAGGATCTGTACTCCTGGAAATGAACACTCCTTCTGGCGTCATTCCCGTTGTCCTGAGCGATGTCTTGTTTATCCCGACTATACAATTCAACCTATTCTCACTCTCCCGCGTTACCAGCAAGAAATTTGAGGTCGTGTTTCGTGAAGCCGATTGCTACGTTACACGTGATGACCAGGACTTTGCCTTTGGTGTGCGCCGGAACAACTTGTACTTTTTGGACATTGCCAACCCTTTGACTCCCGTCGAGCTCGATGCTCCGGATGCTGTCATTGGCCACTCTCTTGTGACTACCACCGATGCCGACACTGGGCATGCCCGGTTGGGTCACATCAGCTTCAAGCACACGGTGAAGACCAAGCAATATACACGACTGGCATTGAGCTTCCCAGTTATAAGCACCAATTTTGCTCGAGTTGTCTCGCCGGAAAGCAATCGCGTCTACCGTTTCCACAACGTTCATTGTCGTCTACTGATGAACCATTTGCTCTCGTTCACTCGGATCTTTGTGGACCGATGCGCCATCCTGCACTCAGTGGTCGTACGCGCTATTTCATCACGTTCACCGACGTCACGGGGTTTTATGACAAGTTGAAGGGTAGGCGCAAACAAGGAGACTCAAACTCAGGTGCGGAGTTCGAGGCAAAATGTGAAGTTCGAGTTAGTTAAAGGTGTGGTTGTAGCCG